TGTGTCTTTAGGAAAAGAGTACGTAATATATAAAGCCATAAAGATAATATAAAAACTCTAATTTCATAGTTGATATTTATTTAATTAACAAGACATTTTATATACTGAAATACATAATATTATCATATACCTATGATATATTTGGTTAAAAATTAGTTTTTATTTATAATTTTAATTAGGTACACGCCACACGGGTATTTGATTAATATATATGTTTAAGAATTTAATATTTATTACTGCTTCGTATTTTTGATAGCAAACATTTGTCTTTAATACAATAATCATAAAACTGAGTACAGTCAAAATGCTTAAAATTGTATTGTGTCATCAACAAATTTTTTACAGAATCGGGTAGAAGTCTATTTCTGTCATCAGTCCATTGTGCTTTCATAAGACTAAATATTCTCTCGACATTGGCATTTTGAGGAGGTATGGCGAAGTAGAACGTGCATATTTTTAATAGTTCTGAAGATGTATCATAACTTCTTTGTTCAAAATATTTCACCCACTTTTTATCAGATAATAATGATGAAAAGTCTTCATTTTTTTCCATTTGCGACAAAAACAAATTTAAGTTTTGAGATTGATCAAATAATAAAGAGTCGTTTAATTGTAGATCATATTTGTTTAAAAATACAATGCTATTTTCTATATCAGTCCATAAAGGTTTGGTGTTTAAAGACATCCATTTTAAACAATTAAATTGATCAAAATTGACTGTCCATTTTTTCAAATAACATAAACCATGATCATAAACATTTAACATTTCTTTTTTTAAATTAGATACACCTGATTGATTATAATTATTTTTAAATATTTCTTTTACTTTTAAGGGTAAAAATTCTTGTTGTTTTCGTTCGTGTAAAGCATTTTCTACAGACAACAAAATTGACGAAATCTCCCAAATCGAATTATTCTCTTTTTCCATTATTTCAATTTTTGAATGAAATACATACATTAGTGAATGAATAAACCATAAATAACTTTCATTTAATGGATTTTCAAAAAATGATTTAATTGCAATCGGTATTTGATTTTGTGACAAAAAATATGACTGAAGTGCTGGATATATTTGTAACAATCTATTAATAGCCGGAAATAATGATAACCATCTTGTTTTTGAATGAAATAAAAGTTTTTTGTACTCAACATCGACAAAAATACAAAATTCTTTTAATGCTTCTGTACGTACTGTATAAATTGAAAAATAATTATATATTTTTAATATAATAGACTCTATATCTATCGGTAAGCCATCAATTGCATGCTGAACACAGTTATTTAGAATATGAGCAGGGCATCCGATTCCAATAATTGGTTTTTTAATATACTGTTGGAGACGATAAAAAACATTATTTGTTCCTCGTCTTTCTACACCACCGAAATTGGTGTTACAATTATCTCCAGAAAAGGCTATACACTTCGAAAGTAAATTCATGTTTTCTAAAGTCTCTATCAATAAATTACAGATTGTTTCACTAGTTTCATTTGGTAATGACTTAAGTTCAATTAAATTATGTTTAATCCCAAAATTTTTATCAAAATATTGAACTAAAATAGAAAAAATTTTCACAGCACCATGGTTAGACCCATCTGTACAAACTCCAATAAATGAAATATTGTTATCATTAATGATTTTTAAAACTTCTTTTAATGAATGTGGGGCTAAGACATTATTAACAATAGCTTCAGTTTTAGTTCTAGCAGAAGATATTTTAGATGCTACCTCTGAATCGCAAAACATAAGACGATATAATTTAGTGGAACAATCACAAGATTTATAGCTATGGTGATGTCTTACCGTATGAAAGGCAAGTGTGGCTTCAACTGCTAATATTTTTTCTTCGATTTTTGTATTCTGTGTTACAAAAAACGTATTCACAGATTTTGAACCGCTAGTTGATTGAATATTTTTTGAATGTTTAGACGAAGACAAATGTTGTATTAAATCAGCTTTGCCTTTATTGGCTAAAGAAACAATTATACAACAAATTTTACAAAAAGCCTCGTGTTCATTTTCTGTTTTTTTAAACATAGGGTATTCTTTTATTAATTTTTCATTAAATTTACATTTTCGGCGAGACATTTTTGATGAACACAATTTAGCTTGATGCGTAAGCGTGAAGACGTGAAGTTAACGAACTAAAATGTATAGTACTAGACACTAGTACATAGTAGCAAATACTAACACGGACTAATTCCGATTTTCAAAAAACGATCATACAATATGTCACATGTATGATGTATATCGTATTACCTTAGACATTTCGGAGAAAAACGACGATAACATCGATAACGTCCGTGCCGATTAAATTTATATTTATGTTATTACTTTATTAGATTAGCTTACAAGTTTATTACGACTTGTGGCATTTCGGTATCTTCGGAATTAAATAGAAATAGAAAAAAGAGTACATTGTTGCCAATATAAAAAAAGTGAGAGTACAAAAATTTTAAGAGCTCATAAGAGTACATGTACTCTTAAAAGAGTACTAATGGTAACCCTAGGCATAATGGATTGGTCTGAAGTATAAATATTGAACAGAACTATGGAGAGAAATCTTCCTTACAGAACCTAAAATATTACATTGAAAAAATATTCAACATTTTTTTTTTTATTAAATAATATTTATATTGGGAATGAATGCAGTTTAGCTTCCAAGCCATTTTTTGGAATTTTTTTTTCCAAAATGTGTGTTTTTGCATGCTTAATTTGATAGTACTTTCAAAAAAAGTCGCACAAACTTCATTTGGAAGTTATGATAAAAAAAAACTTCAAAATGCTTGATTTTTCTAAAAATAGTGTTTTTGATTTAAAAATATCAAATATTTATATATATATTTTTAATTTGTTAATATTTATATGCTTAACATTTTAGTGAAATCGAAATTCGCCTATCGTACTTACTTTTTTTGTTTTTATTAAGAAACATGTACGACTTAATTATTAAGTTATTTCATTCATTTGCATATTAAATTAGGTAAATCAAAATTGATTTTTTAAACTTTTTTTTAATTTGGTGTGTAATGACATAGAGAAGTTTTTTATAAAATCAGAATTGATTAATATTTTTTGGTTTGGAAGAAATATGTTAAAATAATAAGCAATACAAAATCAAAATGTATATATAGATATAGCCGATATAGGTAATGTATATTATTATATTAAATCAATATACTCGTCAACAGAAAAAAACCGTCAATAATTAAGAAATTTTAAAAAAATTATAAAATTTTATCTTGGTTTTAACGTTAGTAATTATTGTAAGCGCTATACTATAAGAAAAGTAGATAGTGTCTCACAATTGTTACAACAAAGTGATGTTGATCTTCATACAGCTACGGGACTTCTACAAACATTAACGAGTAAATTAAAAATTAAAGGAAAACATTTTTTGGAATATTATACAGAAGCTAGAAATCTTTTGAGAAAAAGGGGTGTAGCACCAACATTTAAAAATTAAAGACATAATAAAAAATTTTTTTATGAGATTTGTGAAGACCAAAGGTTAGAATCAGCTGAAAAAAATTTGAAATTTAAATATTTAATATAACAATTGATTGTAGTATTACCAAAATGGAACGAAGATTTTAAAGTTTCAATTACGTATCTCACTTTTTTAAATGCTTACAACTAATTGATTTCATAAATTAAATTGAACGATGAAGAATTATACAAGTCAGTAGAAACACTACAAAAAAAATATGACTAAGATATTTCTCCAGATTTTGTTCATCTGATATACTATCTTTTTGGTCATGTTTTGAAGACATAATATATCGATCAAATTAATGACAATAAAATAAATTGCAGAAATGTTATTTATTGAACATGATCCTCTTACAAACGACATACCCTGATATATTATGCACTACTTTTATTTTATACTTGATGTTAGGTACCTATAACTGTTGCGACAGCAGAGCGATCGTTCTCAAAATTAATAATAATAAAAAAATTATTTATAAAGTATGAAGTTAGAGGAACAGCTGAATGATTTATCAATTATTTCAATTGAAAATAAGTGAGCACAACAATTAAATGAAGTCATTGATAAATTTGCTCAAGTGAAGACCAGGAAAGTTAATTTTTAATTACCTATGTAATATAATATAACACTTTATATTTTAATGCCATTGTTTTTTTAAATTTATAAGCAGTAAAATAATACAGGTACCTTTACATGCATTTTTTTTTTTACCTCATAGAAACGCTGTTTAATTTTCTCGTTAAAGAGGGTCTCCAACTTTTATAGGCCCCAGAGCCATCAAATTTCATGTTACGCCATTGCCCAGCTCGGCCAGTTCTAATGCATGTTATACTTGAATATGCAGATCCATAACGGATTTGAAAGTAACGGTCTTCAAGATAATATTTTATAAAAATGTAGTATGTTGGAGCTAGACATTTTTTAAATTTATATAACTAACTTTCGTGACACATTCTGTCGAAAGCTTGTGAAATGACAAGGAATGCACATGTACAGAAGAGCTTTTTTTCCAAAACAAAGGAAACCTTTTGTGTCAAACTTTAAGTTTTCATAAATTATTGTTTTTTTTTATCATGAATTTAGTGGTCATTTTTTCTTCTGGTGCCAATGGTTCTGAAAAACCATAAAATTATCGGAATCGGTACATTTTATTTTTTTGGCATGTCACATTGGAAATTGAAGGCTTCTTTTAACACAGTATAGGTACATTTTTTTGATTTTTCATATCTAGAATTTTTTTTCATACCACGTCTATAATCAAAAATTATGTAAATAATATATTAATAAAAAACACACATGAGTACATGACTATTTATTTTATTAATTCTCAAGGCTGGGTAGATTAATGATTTTTTTTAACTCAGTTAAGTTAAATATTTTTTTTATTTTTTTTTTTATTTATTAAAGGCTTCAAATACAAAGGTTTATTAGCCTACAATGGTTTACATGTATAATTTATAAATATAATGAAGATTTGATAGTTGTAATGTGTTGTCTTTGGTTCTTGTCTTATATGTTGGTTGTGAGGTCGGCCATCTTGATGAAGTTTGCTATGTTTTTTTCTATTCTTGGTCCGAGTGCGTCTTTGAGTGAGGAGGTGTTTATGTTTGCTTTTGATCTGGCGTTATGGTAAGTGGGGCATTCTAGGAATATGTGGTTAACGGTGAGTTCGCAGTTGCATGTTTCGCACCTAGGTTTGAGCTCTCTACTCATGAGATAGGAGTGGGTGATTCTAGTATGTCCGATGCGTACTTTGGCGATCATGGTCTCTTCATGTCGTGTAAGCTTGACTGGAGGGTCCGGCCATTTTTTGGTTAATGGTTTTATTTGTCTAAGTTTATTATTTTGGTTAGATTGTTTTTCCCATTGATTCTGCCAGAGGGTGTATAATTTCGTTTTGAGGGCGCGGATTACATCGTCGTATGTTACATACGTGTATATTTTGGTGTCTGGGGAGCTAGCCGCTTTCATCGCCAGTTCATTACCGGGGATGTCGATGTGAAATGGGACCCACATGAGTTTGATGAATTTGTCGGTTGAGAGGATTATGTTCTGAATGCTATGGGTGAGGTTGCATTTAGTATGTACGTTGGCTATTGAGGTGACCGCGCTCATTGAGTTACTTAAGATGAGAACTTTAGTGTGGTTTGAGGAGAGTGCGGTTAATGTAGCTTCGAGTATGGCGAATGTTTCTGCTGAGTATATGCTGGAAAGAGGGTCTAATTTATGAAGACTATTTTCATCCCTGTGGGTTATAGTTTCATTCGTTGTTTTGGAGGCGTCTGTATAGAAGTGATAGTAATTTTTGAATTTGGTGTTTATTATTTCGTAGAACGTATTGATGATAAGACTATGCGGTGTGTTGTTTTTGTTGAATTTGGTAAGTTCTGTGTTGGCTTCTATGTGATTCGTGTTCCATGGAGGAATTGTTGGGAACGTTTCTTTTGGTTTTATGTTGCTGATGTTGAAGGATATCTCTTCGAAGATGTCGTGAAGCTTTATATAAAGCGGTTTAAGGAGGTGTTCGTGATAGGGTTCTGAGATTGTCCTTATTAAGCCAGTTTGGGGAGTAGACATCTTTTTGGCTGCGAACTTTGTAATTAGGTACTTTTGTCTGATATTCAATGATAGGCAGTGGGCTTCGCACATCATACTGTCGATTGGGCTTGATTTGAAAGCACCGATGGCCATCCTGATGCCGGCGTTTTGTACGGTGTTGAGTGTTTTCAGGGTATTTTGGTTGGTGAGGCTGTAAATGATTGATCCGTAGTCTAATATCGATTGTATCAAAGAGTTGTATAGGATTAAGAGTGTTTTGCGGTCAGCACCCCATTTAAAATGGCTCACTGATTTGATTATATTAAGTTTTTTGGATGACGTTGCTTTCAGTTTTTTAATGTGTTCTTTCCAGTTAAGTTTGTGATCGAATATTAATCCTAGAAGGCGGAGGCTTTTTGTGTTGGGGAGGGTATTTCCTTGCATTTTAATCTCTAGAATTTGTATTTTCTTCTGTCGATTGAATAAAATAGATTGACACTTTGAGGGGGAGAAAATGAATCCTGTCTCTGAGGACCATCGGCTGATGCTGTCGATTGATTTTTGCATGAGTGAGCTGGTAGTTTTGATGTTTGATCCAGAGAGATACAGGCTGCAGTCATCTGCATATAATATAGTTTTCACGGGTGGTTTCATGTATTTGCTAATATCGTTGATAGCTATTAAGAAAAGAGTTACACTTAGTGAAGATCCTTGTGGCAATCCATTTTCTGTTCTGAATGTCGATGAAAGAGTATGTCTGAATTTGACCTCAAAGGTTCTGTCGGCTAGGAAGTTGTTTATAAAATTGAGTATTTTTCCTTTGAAATTCCATTTGTGGAGCGTAGACAGTACCCTATGTACCCATACCGTGTCGTAAGCTTTTTCGATGTCTAGGGATACCATTAATAAGTGGTTTTTTTTTCAAGCGCCTTGCATATGCTGGTGTAGATGATTGTCAGAGGATCAGAGGTGGATCGGTTTTTGCGGAAGCCGAATTGATGTGGTGAAAGGAGGTTAAGGGTTTCTAGATGCCATGTAAGTCTGGTGTTAATCATGCTTTCGAGCGTTTTGCTCATTGTATTTAGGAGGGATATTGGTCTATAGTTATTGATTTCGAAAGGACATTTGCCAGGTTTAGGGATTGGGATTATATGAGATGTTCTCCATTGTTTTGGAAAGATGCAGTTGATCCAGATGTTGTTGAATATTTTGAGTAGAATGTTAAGTGAGAATAGCGACAGGTTTTGGAGGAAAGAAAATGGTATTCCGTCTGGGCCGGTGCTTTTACTAGTTTTTTTTTTCAGAGAGGTATATAGTTCGATGATCGTGAGAGGAGAGTTGATTAGGTTGTCCGGGTCATCTGCTTCAAAATTGATCGGGGAGTTAATTTCGACTGAAGTTTTTAGGGTAACAAAGTCTTTATTATAGTTTTCATTGCTGTTGTTCCGCTGGAAGAAGGTCCCAAAAGCGTCTGAGATTTCTTTTTTATCGGTAATAGTTATGTTGTTGGAATTTATAGTCTTAGTTTGGATCCGGTTATTGCCTTTCATGCTGTTGACCTTGGACCACATGAGACTAGAAGATGTTTTATTGTTAATGCTGGCTGTGAAACTTTTCCATGATTCGGTTTTGCTGATGTTAATTGTTTGTCGTGAGATTGCTCTGCGTTTTTTGAGTTCAATATGGTCTGATTGGAGTTTGGTTTTCTTGAAATGGTTAAGTGCTTTTTTGTAGTTTTTTATCGCATTTTTGCAATTTTCATTCCACCAGGGGACTTTTTTTTTTTGAAAAAATGGTTTGCTTTTGCCTATTGTGTATTCAGCGGCTTCATTAATAATACTTGTGAAAGATTCGACTATGTTGTCTATGTCTAATGACGGATTTGGTTGGAGGAGGGTTTCGAATTGTTTGGTTGTTAATAAGTTATCGACTTTATTCGCGAAGGAGGGCCAGTCGGGGTTTCGTAGGAGCCATTTGGGGGTTGATTTTTCTGTTCACGGAAAAAAAATATGATTAAAATAACCATTTAAATGGTTATTCGACACCAAAATTTTGTTGTGGTATAGTGACAGCCATACATTATAGGTAAAGTTACCATATGCATTCGGTCGATACAATATGGTTATTATAACTATGTAACATAGTTATTTTTAGCTATAGCCAAAAATGTTATTATAACCAAGTTAAAATGTAATAATTATTATACCATATAATTATTTATACCATAAAATATGGTTAATCGTACTTCAATTTTTAATTAAACTGGCTAAAGTAGAAAGTTACTATTACCATATAAATAATTAATTTCTACTATAAAATATAGGTGACCGCAAGGTTTTGCCTAGGAGGGGTTCAACCTCTCCCCCTCCCCATATTTTTTTGCTTTACGCATTTAGAAATTAATTTATTATTATTTTATAATCTACTCACTAAGATTAGTTAATGCTAGTCTTACATAAGTTTATTAAGTTCACTTAACTCTTTATTAAGTATGTGTAAAAATATACAATGTTCATATAATATATTGCGTGAAATTTAATTTTTAATGTATATTTACTATAAACATTTTAAAAGATAAAATTATAGTTTTGACCTATAAATATAAACTTTATAGACTGTAAACTGCAGCAGCACTAGACGCTTTTTGTATCGATCATTTTCTATAGGATCTAGATATTTAATCTACACAAAATTAATTAAATGATGATATCACGAGTATTTTATATAATATATAACATTAAGTACATTTTGATTCTTAAATACATTGAATATAGGTATTTATAAATGCGTGATAAATTTAAATACCAACCTACTTAATAGTTAATATTATGGTCGATTTAGATTCAAGTAATAGGGAGAATAGATAAGTAGGATTATTTAAGAACATAACAATAATATAATATAATAACTGATAAGGTTTTATTTATTAATAATTACAATAAAATATATAAATAGAAAATATTACACAATATAATTCGAGTGAATATGATAACAAGTTGGTTTTTTGTGTGGTAATTCAGTTATTTTAACTTTTACAATTTCTTTAGTGTTATTTACAATATATGCCTGATAATGGTCGTCGAAACTATTAGTATTAAATAAAGAACAAATAGCTACAGAACTCATGTATGGTAAAATATAAATATGTTTTATTAATCCATATACAGGTAAGCTAGTTACTTTATTTATAGATATAATAACACACATATTGTTAATGGAATAACGGGTACCATTTACATCAACCCATGAAACAAAATGTGTATGACTACTAACATCATTTAAAACTTTAGAAATATTTATTAGTTCCTCCTCAGAAATAAAAATTGTTTTACCAATCTTAAATAAGCCTGATGGATTAAAATTAATATTACTGGCCACTCTGTGTGCAACTTTGAGTTGGTTTTTCAAAAATAAAGTATAACAAATATTTTTTCTGCTGGTTATAGCTTGTGCAGCAATTTTTGACTCCCTGTGTTTAGCCTCAAAACGCATTGACCAAATATTTATCAATAGTCCTATTTTTTTCATTATAGAAGGATAGTGCAATAGATGATGATGTTTAGGCTTTAAATTGGTTTTTAATAATTTTGTATATAATTGATGATGTTCATCAATTAAGTTTTTTAATATAAATGGACATTCTGGCCCAACACTATTTGATGTAACAATATCTAAAATTTTATTTAATATGATATATAATTGCCAGATTTCTGAATTTCTAGGTACCATATCTCCTATTATCAGACCTAGATATCTAGTCAAGCACCACATTTCACTAGCAGTAGTTTTTAACATTAATGGGTTGTTATTTTTTAAATTATTATCTGAAATTGTTTGAGGTCTATTTCGAATGTCAGTAGGACTATACCCAAAATCAGAGTTGGGCAAAAACAAATCAAAATAATGAATAAAAAATAAAAGCATGAATAACAGATTATTTTGTGAATAAAGAATAATATTTTATTTTAAATAGTTTTAGTTGTGAATAAAAAATAAAAATTATTCTGAATAGTTTAACTTGTGAATAAATTGATTATTCTGAATAAATTAATAACAAATTGTGAATAATATTTAATTTTTGTGTAACAAAATTATGATAACAATAACAACAATAACAATAATTTATATAATAATAACAATAATTATGACAATAATAATAATAATAATAATAATAATAACAATAGCTCATTAATTTTAACTATGGTTTCCGTATTGCAATTGATAATTTAAATTTGATTTTAATACTACTTTATATTCAAATAAATCATCAGACAATCTATTTGACTTTGGTAAATTTGTCATTGTCGCAAAAGAGAAAAGTCTCTCTACTGGAGCTGAAGATGCTACTGGTGTATTGTATCGAAGAAATATTTTTTCACAGTTGGATATGAGTTTAAACATTCAAAACGTTGACGTTGATCCTCAAAATACTTTAATACCTTGAACATACATTTAAAACAATAGTTATATTAATTTTTCAATTAAAACATTACAACACTTGATTTATACAATATACATACTTCAATCTCAGCAGACGTGGATGTATCTGTTCTATAATTTTCAGTTACTGGACCAAAGTCAAAAAAATCAGAGTGATCTTCAATTTCAACATTTTCTTCATTAGTTGTAGTTATAGACTCAGCAGTTACGGCTTTTTTAAATATTGCTAAAAGTTTTTCACGAGACGATGACGTATGAATACAGTTTAATACAGTTAACCACTTATTTTTGAACTTAGGGTGAGAAAAAGCGGCAATAGCTGCATTATCAGCTTCAACTGTATTTAAACTTAAAATATTAGAAAATCTTCTTTCTATACTATTTAAAAGACTTTTTTGAATTAATTTACAATACGTCAATTGTTTACTGTTAATAACCACTAATTTTCATTGCAAGCATAATAGTGTGGGCAAGACCATACCGTAGAATACACTTTTATCTCCTTGTAACATGTCCAATGCTTGTGATAAAAGCTTAACACAAAATAAAAATTCCTCGATGTAATTATGTTCAGAAACAGTAAATGAACACTGCTTTAAATTAAGTGCTTTAATAAGTTCACTGGATTTTTCTTTTATTTTTTGAATTTGAGATAAAGAGTCAAATAGTGAATTCCATCTCGTCTCACCGGGTCTTGATAGGGTATATCCTAAAATTGGCTGCATCCGAGTTGGGTCCCAAATTTATAATTACTACACTAGTTGGGTCCCGAATTATTTTAGGTACTACACTAGTTGGGTCCCGGATTTTTGTAGGTACTATACTAGTTCGGTCCCGGATTTTTATAGTTGCTACACTAGTTGGGTCCTGAATTATTTTAGCTACAATACTAGTTCTTGAATATTTTTTGGTAAGTACTACACTATAGTACTATACTAACATTTTCCTTCCCATTTTAACAGACTTAGGACTGTCTATGATCTATTTAGACCACAGGTATGGTTAAAAATGTTTTTTACAGTTTTTTTTTTAGTTTTGTTTCTTTTCTATTAAAATATAAGTAATTAGAATTTTATAAAAAAATAAATCACTTATATATTGAAAAGGTTAAAAACTAATTAGTATAAAAATACATATTATATAATATAAATATAGCCATATAGGTGTAAGTTAAAAAATATTAAAAATGTTAAAATTATTATACAATAATATTATAAATACAAAAAAAAAATATTTTTGGAAAAATCACATGTTTGTTGGTAAAAATTTATACGATATTAATTTTACAAAATCAAATCGATTGATTATTCCTGCAGTTTTTTTATTCATATTGTCAGCTATAAATTTTTCTTTTAGCAAAATGCAGTTTCTTTTTTTCATTACTTCTACACTTCTCATTTTTATATAAGTATCAATTTGTACGTTTTTTAAAATTTCTAGGAACTGATAAATATTTGGGTGTG